ATGTATTCTTGAGTCTATAAGGTAACAATAATATAATAAGATAACCTTGTTTGAAATGGGTTTGGCTAAAAGAAAATTTTGGTTACTTAGTATAAGTACCTACTACTAGGTACTTATACTATATTGACTGGGTTGACTGGGTTAAATAGAATTGCATTTCTAAAAAGAGACTAAAACACAATTTTCATTGACTAAAACTAGACTAAATGTCATCAGTTTTCATCGACTAAAACTAGACGAAAATAGTCATGGATAATTCTGACTAAAATAAGACTAAAATGCTCAGACTTTTAGTTGACTAAAACTTGACTAGACTAAAAAGAGTATGAACGTGACTAAAACTAATAAAAACTAAAATGACAGCTTCACACAAAGACTAGACTAAAACTAAAATTGAAACAGGCCGCCAAAAACAACACTAGTCACAAGGACAACACCATCACCGCACTGCTCTGCTCTGTGACACCCCAGCTGCCACTTCCTGAATCAAAGTGCAGCGTGAAGTGATCAAGCCCAGCAGCTACTGCACAAGACAAATGCTTTACCACTAATTTGAGTCTTTCTTCAATATGGTGTCCTGATTGAAAAGCTAAAAGATGCAGAGTGGAACCACCGCCAAATCAAACCAAACCAAAATCCCTGCGCGATCTCTGAATTATAGCAGAGCAGTCTAGTAGCTTTGAGGTCGAAATGGCATATATTTACATACAGATGCAAAGACAGTTATTAGTCCTTGCAGATTAAAAGCATGAATGAACAGATTCAGAGGTAAAGAATAATATGAAATTGTTAAAACAATAATAATTCTATACTGGACAAGTACTAGCACAAACTGCCCACAAACTGTACAACGTTTCCATTTAAGTTACGGATTTAAGTTATGCAGAAAATTTAAATACTGGGAAAAAAGTATTTCCATCCCACAAACTCAACATAAAATCATCAATTTTGGGGAAAATGGTGCAAAATACAAATGGAAATTGTATCTACTGTTGTTGTTTATCTTTTTTATTTAAATGAAAATAAATTACTTATTTAACACTCATTACAGTATATGATGCACTCATTATAGTAACAAATTATTTCAATGATATTTTCTTATCACATAATTAGTGGTCGACCGATATTGTTTTTTTGACAGCCGATGCCGATATCTTGGAAAGCAGGGTGGCCGATGGCCGATATAAAGCCGATATAATTGTATTTATTTGAATTAATATTTAAGAAATTTAAAATAATTTGAAAATGGATTAAAAAATCAATTTGTAAAATAAACATACTTATACTTTAGATAACAAAGTATTTTTCACAAATAAATAAATATTTAATAAAAATATAATTTTTTTGTATACATTTTAATTGCTTTGTTTAACAGTTCTATCGGATTATTACACAGACTTCTATCCGTATTAGACAGAACTGTTAACAACGATAGCGAACAAGAGGGAGAATGTGAGCACTGTGTGCTCAGGTGCTGCTGCTCTCAGCGCAGTCAAAATAAAAGTCCGGCGCGCCGTCAAAATAAAAGTCCCGCCTCGAACACATCGGCCAAACAGAAAAACGTATCGGCCAATGCCGATATTTGAAAAATGCCAAATATCGGCCGATATATCGGTCGATCAATACACACAATTATTCTTATATGACTGATTTATTTAGTAAATGTGTTTCCATCCAGCATTTTTTATGCAACATTTCAAAATATGCATGAAAATGCATGAATGGAAACTCAACTACTTATTTCTTACCATTTTGTGCCTTACACCTAGGCCTGTCACGATAACAACTTTTTGTTGTGCGATATATTGCCACAGAAATAATTGTGATAAGCGATATTATTGTCATTTTAAAGACCATTTTATGCCACTGAATATATAATCATAATGTAACAGCATAATAATGCAAGAAGGCCTACACACTTCCAAATGACAACAAACTTTTAATTTTTAAGAATATTTAGCTCATGGAAATTAAGTATCAAAATATTAGATACCTTAAAAAAAGGTGAATAAATAGTAAATAAACATTTTCTAACAAAAAGTGCAAAGTAACAAGTAGAAAAAAAGAAAAATGCACAAAGAACTTGTATGGAGACTTTTCCATCTACAGATTTTTCCCTGATTTAAGAATATTTAGATCATGGAAATTAAGTATCAAAATATTAGATACCTTAAAAAACCTGAATAAATAGTAAATAAACATTTTCTAACAAAAAGTGCAAAGTAACAAGTAGAAAAAAAGAAAAATGCACAAAGAACTTGTATGGAGACTTTTCCATCTACAGATTTTTCCCTGACCTTCTCTGTAAATTAAGGGTGCACACTAATGCTGAAAAACACAATCACTACTTAGCAGTCAGATGTCCGTATACGCAAAGGCACAGATCCCTAAACAAGGCCATACCTGCAGATGAAACTTTGTTTGTAGAAGCATTTTTTAAATTTGAACTAGCACCTAATGACTACACCACGTTATGTACAAGAAGTTGCAAAAGACCTAGGCGCAAGTGGAATGTACAAAACATGGTGACATTAATTTTTAAGTAAATATAATGGCCGATAAATTGCGTCACCAAAAATGATTGAGGTCCTGTACATATATTGCGTGATAAGTCGATATATTGATTATTGCGACAGGCCTATTTACACCTACTTGAAAATTGATATGGAAAAAAGACAATGAAGTACAAATAGCCTACAAAAGGCATGGAAATTATAAGGAACAACATCACAATGGGTTTGACATTTTTGTTAGGCAGCATTTCACTGAGACAAATATACAATGGACAAGAACTAAAGAATTTCTTTGTCAAGAGGGACAAAACATCTTTTAACAATCTGATCATTGCCGACAAGTTTTCTCTATTCATCAGCCACTGGTAAGTGAGGCAAAACATGAATTTTGTATCAAGCGAGTAGATTTTCATCTCTGTTTTATATATATACGCCTAGGCGCAGTAGTAAAACAAACCGTTCTGTAAGATCAAAACAACATGACAAAATACTTCAGAGGGGAAAAAATCCTCAATCCAATACAAAGGAAACATCCTCACAAAACTTGCTCGGAAACTGCAGGCTTGAAAGCAAGAAAAATAACGGTAAATCCTTGGATATGAAGATTAAAGCTAAAGGTAGATGAGATACAATGAGCAAACACACGGATGTGAATGCAAAAATATAAAACACAGCACATGAAAACACGTGAAATGAATATTATCCAAGCAAACAAAGGAGATAAATGCAGCGTACAGCAGTGCTGGTGCTGATTATAATCTTACCTGCACTGCCTAATGTTTTGTAGAACCGGTACTCCAAATGTAGCTGCGGGGCCCTCGATTTCACAGGTTCCTTTAGGAGTGGCAGAAAAAAAAAAGATTAAATTAAAACGCTTTTATTTGTTCACATTAAATTCATTTACAAGATACAAATATTCCAGCCAGAAACACACATTTATTTCCAAACGTCATATTTAAGTTATCAGTACCAGAATATACAAATATATTCTTGTGGTTTAAGGTTCCTAAAATGTCTGTTTAAAATACAGCAGTTGGAGTTGATTTCTTTGAACAAATCCAGCCTTTAGAGTTTGATTCCAGATCTACAGACATGCCTAGACATTACAACTACACGTTACAACAAAACGTTAGCAGAACACCAGCCTCTGCTGTTATAATCCCTTCGTAGAAAATAATAAATATAAATATACTTACCAACTTTATTGCAACATACTCATTTGTATAGAGATTCTTTCCTAAAAAGCAAAACAGACAAAGGGTGACCAACTGCAACTGAAATTATACTGTTTGAATATGGACGCAAAAATACAGACAATTTGATCTATACTTATATTTTCAAGTATTGGATTTCTGCCTATATATTTGTAACCCTGGACCATAAAACCAGTAATAAGGGTCAATTTTTCGAAATTGAGATTTATACATCATCTGAAAGCTGAATAAATAATCTTTCATTGATGTATGGTTTGTTAGGATAGGACATGATGATGTTGGCCGAGATACAACTATTTGGAAATCTGGAATCTGAGGGTGCAAAAAAAAAAATCTAAATTCTGAGAAAATCGCCTTTAAAATTGTCCAAATGAAGTTCTTAGCAATGCATATCACTAATCAAAAATTAAGTTTTAATATATTTACAGTAGGAAATTTACAAAATATCTTCATGGAACATGATCTTTACTTAATATCCTAATGATTTCTGGCATAAAAGAAAAATCAGTCATTTTGACCCAAACAATGTATTTTTGGCTGTTGCTACAAATATACCCCAGCGACTTAAGACTGGTTTTGTGGTCCAGGGTCACATTTAT